AGGGAAACTTAATAAATTAAAATACATTATTTATTTTTTTATATTATTTTAATATAAATTGAAATAATTTTAATATAAAAATTTATGTTTAAAGATTTGATTATAAAATGTTCAAATTAAAAGCATGACGATGAGGTTAAACTAATTTGCTTCAATGATCATGTAAAGAAAAAAGATTATATTTTATGTTATCCAATAGGAATGAAATTCATCCCATCCTTAACATCAATATGAATTGCCATTTTTATTTGAACATATTGAAACTGTTGATTAAGAATGCGATCATTTTATTAAAAGATTGAATTAAATCATGGATACAGTTAATCTATCCTTTTATAAATTAATTGAAGCAATTAGAAATAAATATCAAAGATAAAGAGAATAGTCCATAAACTTTAATTCAAAATAAATGAATTTCTTTTTTGAAGAAAATATCTAATTCTAATCCTTTGTATGAAATACAAAGGAAATAACATTCTTATATTTTCTAAGATTAATTAAAGAATTTATATTAAGATTTATCCTTAAAAAATATAAGGAAGCAATGATATGGACAGATAAAGCCTTGGAGATCGATCCAAAACATGTCAATTCGTTGTTTTAAAAAGGTTTAACATTTATTGAATCTGTTAGTGGAGAGTTTAAGGGGATTTAAAAATTTAGTGAAGCAATTATATGGTCAGATAAAGTCTTATAGATTAATCCTAGACATATCAATTCATTGTTTTGCAAAGGTTAAGTGTATTACCTCATTTATTTTTTCTATATAAAGCTTCCCTAACAAAATTAGATTTTTATGGAGTTTAAACTAATTATGAAATTTCTTCTACAATATTTAAATAAAAAGTGCTTTTAGGCATTACTTTAATTGAATAATCAGGTAAAATTAAAAAATAGCCGCCAACTAGTATATCTTATTTATTAATAGGACAATATGTAATAATTAAAGAAAAAATAGAGCCCATCATCTTTATCTCTCACATCTATTGGAATACTTTATAGAATCGATAATAAAAGATTTTTATTTATAATTTTTTTTCATTTCATATTAGTATGACTCTAATATAAATATATAAAAACAATGATCAAGTATAATATATAATATAAATTACATGTTGGAGCACAATTTTAAATGTTACAGATTTTCTTCCCAACAATTTAGCCTGTTGTATATATTCAATAAATACAGAAATTTTAAACTTTCATTGCAAAACAATTATTGCCAATTTATAAAATTTCTAATCTAATTTAAGAATAGACTACGACCTGCTATATTAGAAATGACGGAATATTTTACAAATTACTGTGATAGACAAAATTCATATTAAAGTTCTAGTTACACATATAAGATAAAGATATACCATGGCTTATTAAAATAATCACAAATTTGATTTAAGAAACTTTGTTTTTGAACTCTCTAATTTACAAAGTCAAATTCAAAGAAACCACAAAGATCTTTAAAGTAGGATTTTATATTCTTATTCATAGTGTAGGAAAGAGTTTCTATATGTAATGAATCAGTTGATACCTCAGAAATAATAATACAAATAATAATCATTTGAATTCTGTGTTACAAATGGGACATATTAAATTCAGCCATTCTGTGATACCTATCTTATGAAAAATATGTTTGAAATGACATTTAACTATATCATGGGAGTTTTATCCGAATATGCAATCAATTATTCTCTACAAATAATAAAGTCGGCTTTTTCTTTAAGATCTATTTAGTAAATAAAATTATTACTTAAATTTGAAATTGGTTTTAACCTTTGCTAGTTTTTATTATTGTTCACTATTGGAATTTAATTTATTACTAATTAAGGTTATTCCTCTGGAAATTGCACTTACTGTAGTTAGATATTTAATATTTCTAAATTTTACATTACCAAAACTTAATTATAAGGTTCCGAATCAAGAAAGGTCAAGTATTTAAACAGTATTATATCAACTATTATTAATTAAACTATAGAACAATCATAATAAATAAACATGTCATAATTGATTACTTCATAATAAATATCTTCTTACTTAAATTTTTAAAAAACTCTATATTTTTTTAAGTATTATCCTTCTATGTTATTACTTTTATTTAAAGCGGTCTCCATCTAGTTACTTTACTTTGTGAATATTAACTTAATATTTTTACTTTCAAGTCAACTATAAAGTCTACTTTAACCTAAAGATCGAAAATATTTATACACTTTTTTTCTTGATTATATAAACCAGACTGAAATTTTATAAATACTTAAATAAGGAATAACTATGGATTGATCATTAAAATTATAAAATATCAAGTATTAATAAGCTTCGAATTCTATTTTATCTAATTATTTAAA